TTCTACTCCCCACACTCCCCTCCCGCCCCAACCCAAAGTCAGGCTAATGAGCTTCCACTGAACACTAACCCTTTCCCACCCTATGGGGTCAGTAACATTTCCAGGCTGGGAAGCAGTAGGAAACCAGCAGCTTGGCTGGTCAGCATCAAGTTGGCCTCGTTGCCCTTCTATGTGAACTCATTCCCTTTCTATGAGCTGAGCCTTGACTCCTTGTCTTTGCTCCAGCTCCTATAATGAACGCTTCCATTTCACTCTCCTTCCTCAATATCCCTGTCCCTCAAACCTGGACTCCTTCTCTAGGCTCTTAAGACACAAGTCCTGCCTCCTGGAGCCCAGGTTTATCTATTCCCTTGCGTTGCAATCCTGAGCTGCCCTATCTGTGCATCCTCACACATTTACACCCTGATGATGTCTGGAACTATCTTGCCTTCCTTAGAATTCCTAGGAGCATGTAGGTGGTGTTTGGGTAACTCCTGCCAACATAGAAGCAGCTGATAAGTGGACCCTCATATTACTATAGTATACTTACAGCTATTATTCAGTGCATGCACAATTAACAGTTCTTAGGTGCCTACTGTGTGCCGGGCATCATTGTTCCAGGTGCCGAAGATGCAGCAGTGAACAAAACAATGCACCTTTCCTTGTAGAGTTTGTGATCTAATAGGAGGATAAACAATGTCGGTACACAGAGTTGCCAGACAGGGGGGAAAAATCAAACCACTTGTGAGTAATAGGGAGGCTGGGGCTGCTCTTTCAATGGTGGTCAGGGAAGATATCACTGAGGAAATGAGCTGAACAGAGACCTAAAAGAAATGAGACAGAGACATGCAAAACATGAGAGCGAGCCCTGCTGGTATTTAGGGGACAAGTGTTCCAGGGAGGGAGAATTACAAGGGCAAAGGGTCTGAGGCCAACTTGGCCTGGTATATTAAAGAAATAAGCATTCCATTGCGGGTGGAAGTGGTCATAGGGGTTAGTGGAGGCAGAAGGCAATCGTGAATGACCATTTGGTTACTGAAAATGTTTTGACTATTATTCCAGGAAAATATAAGTATTCAGTCAGGGAAGTTGACATGATCTGCCTTCCATTTTGAAAAGAGCCTTTTGGCTGTGTGAATAGACTACGGGGAGATGAGACCAGAAGCTCGGAGGCTAGTTAGGGGGTGATAGCAAGAAGCCAAGGGAGAGATCATGTTGCCTGGCCTAGGTTACTTGTGGTGGACAGTGATTGCATTCTGGATATGATTTCAAGGGGCAATACGCCGCAGGTAATAATGGTTTGAATATGTTGTAAGAAAAATAGAAATCAAGGATGACGTTTTTATTTATTTGTTTGTTTATTTATTCATTTATTGGCCTGAGCAGCTATAACAACAGAGTGCCACTTACCAAGATGGGGGAGTTCAATTTTGGACACGGTAAATGTGGGATGTCTGTGAAACGCTAGGATGTCTATGAAGCCATGTCCTGAGCAGGTGCAGGAAGGATCTGGTGTGCCAGTGGAGGAGCTTGGCCTTCGATGGGAGTGTGAGGTGTGGGCAAGCCCTCCACGCAGCAGGAAGGAAGAAGGTGTGTAGGAAAAGATGCACGGTGCCTGGAAAAGGGTGCCGTGAAGACCTGAAGAAGCTCTCCTGTAACTACTTCTATTTTCTCAGTGAAGTAGAAAGCCAGGTCAGCGGCTGAGAATGAGGGTAGGAGAGAAGGTGTAAAGAGGCTTTGAGATACAGGAGAAGGTGTGAAATAGTCTTCTAGGACAGTGAAAATACATTTCAACTCATGGTGGGAGCTCCTGGGTAGCTCAGTTCGTTAAGCATCTGACTCTTGATTTTGGCTCCGGTCATGATCTCCTGGTTCGTGGGATAGAGCCCCTTGTCTGGCTCTGCACTGACAGCCTGCAGCCTGCTTGGGATTCTCTCTCTCTTCCTCTCTCTGCCCCTCCTGCCCTCATGTGCGCATGCACTCTCTCTCAAATAAATAAATAACCTTTAAAATAATAACAAATTTCAACTCATGACCTAATCGTGGGACTTAAAAAATCAACTTAAGGATTGGAGATCAACTCAGTGATTTAAAACAGTAAATAGAATTTAAAAGTAGAGTTCATTGCATGTAAAAAGAGTAAGAATTGCTTAAAGCTTTCTTTCAGGTGCACATATATATGTGTATGTCCTAGGTTGTAGCAAAAATATTTTAAAGACACTGGCCCGAGACAGTGGTAGAAAATGATCGAGAGACTGTCGAACAAGGTCAGGGACCGAGTTGACGACCATATAGTTAACGGAGAATACACCCTCCTAAGATTTTGGCATTGGATCTTCTAGAACACCACAACCACCCTCCCCTTCCTCTGGCCCACCTGCCCCTCCACTATAGGAAACCTTTCTGCTTGAATATTTTCAGTGATGGCACGCCAGCTTAAAAGATCGAGATTTCAGGATGTAACTTTCCTCTCTATGAAAAAAATGGAGTTGTCACAACACTCTCTAAGATGTTAAAGTGGTGGGCAGAGGGTCTGGTAATTGGATTTTGGAATTTGGTGTACTTAATATGAAATTTGACCTTACTATGCAATACCAAACATCACAGCTTTTCTCCCGTTTTGGAGGTCTCTAAATCCTCCAAAACAAAACCAGTATCAGATCACCAAGAAATCTTGTTTTTTTTCAAACTTTAGCCCAGAATTGTAGCATTTGGCTTGTAAATGTATATTCTCTCTCCTCCTTACATTGCACTAATGGCAATTTTAGTGGATGATTGAGCTAATTTTCATGCCTATATTTTCTTCCTCTTTCAAGACTTGTTGCTGGATCGGCAGTCGATTCCAAATATAACTTTACTTAGAAAAAAAAATGTGTTCATTTTTAAGACAGTCTTAAAGTCTTCAGTTTTGAAGTAGTTTTTGCCTAGCAAATATATTAATAAATAATAGTTAAGAAGTTGTCAATAGATGCTGTGGAAATGGCCATTTATATTTTTAATTGTAATGAGCTCAGGTTATTTCTAGACATTGTAATTTAGAATAATAAAAGTATTTCTCCTGTTCTATATTTTGCCTGATTGTTAAAAATGGTTCTGAGATTATTAACTCGAATCAATTTTCTACACACCTGACCAATTTCTGAACCATTTGAGTTTTTTAAAAACACTTTTTCCTATTGTAAAGGCAATATCAACCTTAGTTCATTAGACAGGCTATCAGACATAAACCTTACACATGAAACATATTTTCCCTTTGCAAAGTTGTTCTTCTACTGTATTTATTCTGATTTACGTAAATTTGAAACACTGAAGTAACAAAAGTAGAAATGAAATTTTAGAGAGAATGAGGACTCATCACAAAGTACATTCTGCCTACATCAGTCCATTTATAACACTATTTAATCTTAGACTAGTTGCAAATCAAAATCAGGTAGAGTCTCACAAGAAAAAAAATTAACTATGTGTGGTGATGGATATTAACTAAACTTACTGTGGTAACTACTTTCCAGCATATATAGATATACCAAATTATTACGTTGTACACCTAAATCCATACAATGTTATAGGTCAGTTGTATTCCGATTTAAAAAAGAATTAAAATATCAAGTAGTCTGAACACCCCCTCTACTGCTTTTGGGATTAGACTGTATTCTAGGATTCTTTAAATAGTTTCCCTTCCTAAGTGCCAAGAAAAAGTTAAAACTGCAAAACAGGATCATTCTGTTATTCTTTATCTAGACCCTCACGTAATTTTTGTCTCTATGTTAAATGCTTCTTTAGAAAAGGAAATACACAGGATTAGTGTCTCTGCTATTGCTTCCAACAAGAGCTCTACCATGGAAAGCTCTTTCCCCTTCCATTTTGCAAGCCTCAACAAGTCTGTTGCTGAGTCAGAGCCTCCTTTTTTCCCTGATGTGAGAAATCTTTCTCTCTTGAAAACTCATAAAGCTTAGGAACTGTTTGAGTCTCCCTGCCGCGGCGGGGCCCCCGAAGGGACAGGGGAGCCAGAATGAACGTGGTGAGGAGGAGTCCCTCACACAGCAGCCCTGACGATGGCACATTGAATGCTTTTGTGAAATACGAAGACTTGGACATGGCCCAGGGTTACCACGGGAGCTCGCCCGATACGTAACCTGTTATATGCATATACGTGTGTAAAAAGCCACCCGGAGCCTGGTTAGGTTCCTGGGACTCTGCTCCTCAATTGCTATAGTGAAAACGTTTGGTGTACAGCTGAGGGTTCTTGCAGAAAACACCTTCACGCAGCTGCAGGAAGGTCCAAGGCAGCACACAGCACGAGAAGCTAAATACGGAAACAAGCCCGAGAAGGCGCTTTCTAGGGCGACGAGAAGCGAGGACACGTCCAAGACTGGGACGTGGTGGGGCACGAGGTGCGGAGAGAGCCGCTCGGCGGTCTGCAAGGCAGGCAGAGCCCGCACGATCTTGCCGGCCTAAGGACCCCAAGGGCTGAGCCTGGAAGGCGAGAGGGGCCACGGTCACTAGGAGCCGCTCCCGGTCTCGTTCCCGGGCCTCAGTTTCCCCCGCGGGCCCGCGCCGCCCTGGGAAGCCCGCGTCCCAGCGGCCAAGCCTCATGTGACCGGGGGCGGGGCGGAGGTGACAGGAAGGAGGCGGGGCCGCGAGGGCGACGGGGGAGAGCGCGTGCGAGCCCCGCGCCGGGAGGGGCCGTTGCCCAGGAACCGTCGCCGCCGACGGCTCGCGCACGCCTTCGTGCGCGCGCGCGCCGGGAGCTCGGACTCCGGTCGGCCGCCTTCCACAGCCACCGGTCTCTCCTTTTCCCTGGACGCCGAAGGGGCCGGAGGACCGAAGCCGCTCGCTCTCGCGCTCCCCCGCCTTCCTGGGAGCGCAGGCGCGCCCCCGGCCGTGCCTGCATATTAATGAGGGGCGGGGCGGGGGCGGGGCAGCGGGGGCGCGGCGGCCTCGCGCCCGCGCGTGCCGGGACGCACCGCGGGGGGCGGTGCGATTGTGAGGTGGCACTGACGCACGTTCCGGAGTTCTTAAGCGGCGAGGGCGGCGGCAGAGGCGGCGGCACCCGAGCCGGTCTCGGGAGGCGGCGGTGACTGCCGCGAGGGGTGGCTGGGCCGAAGTAGGTGCCCCTGGCTCAGTCACGGTGTCCCTCTCTCACTGACTCCCCCTCCTTCCACCACGGCCGCGCCGCCCCAGATCCGGCGGTTTCCTAGGCGGGGCAGCGGACGGGGCGCCTCTCCTCCGGCTGCCGCCGGCCTGATAAATGAGGGACTTCGGATTTGGGGTGCTGCAGACCGCCCCGCTCCGAAGCAGCAGCCCCGGGTCCCTATTCGGCAGCGGGGCGTACCGTCCCTACGCCACGGGGCCCACCGCGGCCGCCGCCCCGCTGCCCTCCACCACGCCCTTCGGCCCGCTCTCGCCGCCGCCGTTGCCTGTCACCGGCTTCTCGGAGGCCGCCTCCCCCTTCTCTATCCCCCTCGGCTGCGGCGGCGCGGGCAGCTCAGCTGCCGCCGCTTCCTCTTCCTCCCAGTTCTTGGCGCATCAGCAGACCATGCAGGATGAGCTGCTGCTGGGGCTGACACAGCAGCCGGCGCGGCCAGTCTCGGGGGCGGCGGCCGCGGAGAAACTCCCCAACCACCACCCCGGCGGCGGCACGAACGCGGGTGTGACCCACCTCCTCCCCTCCCAGGACTTCAAACCGAGTCTGCACCACCCCTCCTCCTCCTCCGCCTCCTCCTGCTGCTGCTGCCGCACCTCCTCCCCGCAGGACTTCAGTAAGCGGCAGCAGCAGCAGCTGAGCAGCCAGAAGAGGAAAGAGTTCAGCCCTCCCCACCTTCCCCACCCTCCGGACTCGAAGCCGCCGCCGCCGCCGCCGCTCCACTGCCCCGGCCGGTTCAGCCCGCCGCCGCCCGGCCCGCTCCTCCAGCCGGCGCAGCTCGCCCAGCGCCAGCAGCCGCCGCAGCCGCAGCAGTTCAGCGTACCGCACCCGCAGCACCTCCCGCCGCAGGACTTCGCCCCGCGGCAGCGCCCGGCCGACCTGCCCCCG